GTTACTGCATAATAAAAAAATAAAACATGTAATTTACACAGACCTAATAAACACTCTACAACCATACCGTGTGCTTTGATAGAAAATTGAAAATTTATTCCAGACAAACTTCATAAAAAATTTTGATACAGCCTAAGAGCTCTTGCTGTTTTGTTGTTTAAATTTGAGACACTCTGTATATACTAATAAGAAAAAGAAGAAAGGAAGGAATGAAGTTCAACATCGTTTTAACAGTCCTTCATGCTAACGAAAAATTGACTTCCATGAAAATTCATCAAAATCAAGAGAGAGAGAGAGAGAGAGTGTGAGGGGGTGGTTTTATGATATTAGATTTTCCTCCAAATTCGAAGGTTAATTTAGTTTTTCGTTACATGATTTAAAATTTCTATTTATAAGTAGAGTATCCAGTGAAGAGGATGGTAAAGATAATTAATACTTTCGAGAAAGTGGTCTTTCTTATTTAGCTTCGAGCTATGAAACAAAATTGTTAAGGTAAGTTTGAAAGTGAAAAAGAAAGAGAGAGAGAGAGAGAGAGAGAGTGATAGTAAGTGAATGAGTGAGTTAAATAAGAGTGTATAAATTTGTGAGTTAGTGTATGAAAGTGTATGAGAGAGTTAGTCTATTGAATTTGTTGAAGTGTATGAGAAAGTGAATGTATAAGTGAGTAAGAGTGTGAGAGAATATATGAATGAGTTATTTGTGTCATTATGAGAGAAAGAGATAGTAAATGATTGTACTTGTATGCTTGTACTAGATAGAGTGAATGCTTATGTGTGACTATGTGAGAATGAATGAGTGTTTATGTGTTAATTATGCGAGAGAAGATGAGAAGGAAGAGTATACTTGTGTAATTGTAAGAGAGTACGTGAGTTTTTGTATGTAATTGTGTGAAACAGGGTGGAGTAAGTATACTTGTGTAAGAATGAGTGAGTGTATATATATATTTGTCTGTGTATGAGAGAATGAGAAAGAGAGAAAGAGAGAGAGTGAGTGAAGGAGTGTATTTGGGTGCTGTGAGAGTAAGAGTAATTTTGTGTTAGTGTGTGAGAAGGAGAGAGATTCGTTTACAAGAGGAAGTAACTTCGCGACGTTCTCAAGGTGGTAGGCACCACCCTGTCTAACAAATTCTAATCTAATCTTGCGTGGGCGCCTTGGCTAATGTGCGAACGACAAGGGGGTACCTTAAGTTAGCGAGAGTAAGAAGGATAGAAAGATGCAAGAATATTAAGCTGTCTATCTCTCTCTCTTTCTCTCTCTCTCTCTCTCTCTCTCCTTGTTACTCTCGACTCCTTCGAAGGAGTCTGGTAAGGTGAAAAAGGAAAGGACGGCTTGTAGGAGGGGATGATGGTAGGAAGACGAACTTTAATATTAGCACTCTGCAAGTCAAACTCGGCGTTGCAAAATTAAAACTTCTTACGGTCGTGCGTTCGTGTGTCAAGTGGTTCGTCGTGTAGCTTTTTCAAGCTGACGAACAGTTTCAGAAAGAGAAAAAAAAGAAGGAAGAAAAAAA